ACGCCCGTGTATGTGAACCGACGAAATTGATTAGTGCTGGTGATAATGAACAGAAGTGGAGGGTAGTTCGTGATAACAGGCACAAACACATCCGCACCACGAAGATCTAGCTCCCGATTAGCAAGAACTGGGTGGGCGAGTTGCGGGATTTATCTGTCATGAGCTTGCAGCGTAAAACATGGGAAGTCTGATAAAAGAGCGATTCGGGTGTTAAACACCTGTTATCAGTTGGTTGCTTGCAGCAATAGATGAAATCTATATCAGATTTGGGCAAAAGAAGTGAACGCATGTTTTGCGGGGGAGGGCGGGTGTGAATGTTGAAAGGGGGGGGAGAGTAAAGGAAGGCAATGAACAAAACCGTTGACTGTACAAACGACCTCCCCAAAAATAAATCCGTCTTTTCCTTGTTCCTCCACGGTGAATGGTGGATGAGATGGGAATTATAAAATTCTACTAAATGTAGAGTTACTTATCAAGACCCTTTATCACTTTGTGCGGAGTCCGTTTATGGTAGGGTCGGGTAAACTGGTGTTTCGTTTTTTATCGGTGAAACAAGTCCATGGAGATCACATAACTAAATGCAAAGTTTTGAACATCTGCAAAGGTAGACGAAAAATCTCGATTAACCAAGTGCCAGCATTGTGTTTTGATTTACGCCAATAGCACCACCACAACGATTTCGATGTACCATCGCTGTAAACGTATCAGTGTTATGGTCAAACGGGACACAATGGGCATGGTAACAAACAGTGCGTCGTGATTAGGCAGCTCCTGCCACTGACGGATGGAATGTAGACAATCCGACAGAAGAAATACGCTGATCAGGGTCATGCACGTGTTGGAGACAATGAACTCCAGAAGGATGATGGACAAAGTGCTGACCTGTTTTCAGTTTTGCGTTTGGCGATGCTGTCCGTATCGACTGAGCAAAGGTTGTCGCGGCTCAGGACCGTAATACCGTTCCACCACATAGTAGCGTGTTTCCACCTAACGGTTCGAAATACAAAGACAAAAAGAACACAAATATGATGATCTCGGGTTGAATCAAACGCACGCAGTTGGTTTATGCTTTAGAAACTAGCACTAGTTTATAAATGAATTTTGATCGGCTTTATAAAAATTTCCTCCTCTTGTGACTCCGAAAATGCTCCTCACACTAGTCTGGTCATATGCGAGATAGATCATGACACAATCAGCTTTAAAATGAATGGGGGGACTAGGGGCGAAACAAGGAAAAATAATGCGTTCAAAAAATCTATTCGTAAATTTTCACAATACGCTTTGCTCCAAGAAGTAAACTTTACTTCAGGGGGTGACTGTGAACATGAGAACAAAATGTCCAGATATACAACCTACGGACTTATGTAC